GTCATCAATTTCTTTATGAAGTGCCCTGAAGCATATCTTATCTCTGATCAAGAGGATGTCACGGCAGCAGAGGTAATGTTACCGCATTAGATTTCCAGGTTTGGAGTGCCTTTTCAGTTACATTCCAATAAAGGAAGAAATTTTATCTGAGCCATAATTAAAGACATCTGCAAATTACTCAGCATAGATAAAACCCAAACGACATCTTTACATCTACAGTCAGAAGGCAGTTGTAGAAAGATTTATTGAACCATCCTTGATAGGTTGTTGCTGATGGTTTCCAGAAACCAGCAGGACTGGGACTAGAAGTTACCCTTGCTCTTACTGGTCTATTGCAGTGCTATCCATGAGATTACCAACTACTCCTAATCATGCATGTTGTTGTGATCTTTGTCTGCCTTGTGATCTGCTGTTTGGTTGCCGTCCAGATACACCTTTATTATCTGAGGAGCACATTCAAGATTTCTAGGCACAATTTGAAGGGATGCAAAATTTTGCAGGAGTGAGCTTGGCGATGGAAAAGATTAAGATCTGATACCAACAAAAGCTGCAGGACATCGATTCAATGAAGGTGATAAGGTGTGGGTATGGAATCTGATTCAGTGGAAAGGACTTTCTCCTAAACTGCAGTCACCCTGGGACCTAAGCATGCTCAATGACATCATAGTTGGGATCCATAAGTCATCAAACATTAAGCCTAAAATTGCTTGTTGCAACTGACTAGCTTCTTACTGTAGTCATAGTACGTTATCCTTATAGTATGTAATGTAAATAGTATACTAAGCCCAGTGTATGTATAAATTTGTAAATTCATGCATTTATTTATTGATTTATATTTTCTTCCTTTGTTACTTATTGAAATTACTAATTCATCGATTTTCCTTAGTTGTAAGTTTGGCTTCTTGCCAAAGGATTGTACAATACAAAGTCGGAGATCTGGATGTCCAATATCCAGAATGATCTAAAAGCCGCCACCCTCCCAAAAAATGTTTTTATATACTACAAGGTAGTGTACAAAAAAAAAAAAAAAAAAAAAAAAAAAAACTGTGGTGCATACATCAACTTTTTATGACAGTTGTAATTACATTCCTTGTACTTAAAAACTTTCCACTCAGATATTCTTAGTGTATTACACAATAGTAAGACAAAAATTTCGGAAAGCTGTTGTCTTTACCATACAAGATTATGAATCCCTTCTCTCTGCCTACCATCGCAAGAGCTGCAGTTGCTAAGCCCACTAACTTATGTATAGGAATATTTTAAAAGTTGATAAGACTTTTAACTGCTAAAAATTTGTCCTGTTACCTGTATTTCGATTCTTCAAGTTGCAGGAAGATAAAGCTGCAGTGATCAAAGGGCAAGAGCTGCAGTTGCTAAGCCCACTAACTTATGTATAGGAATATTTTAAAAGTTGATAAGACCTTTAACTGCTAAAAATTTGTCCTGTTACCTGTATTTCGATTCGTCAAGTTGCAGGAAGATAAAGCTGCAGTGATCAAAGGGTGTTTTAAGTTGTGAGGTAATGACAGAACTCATAACCTCAACCCTTCTCATTACCGTATTTGCAGAAAGCTGTTCAGGTTTAATAGAAGACATCTCAATTTTATTTCTGAAACTATCAAATAATACATCTGCAGCTTCTAAAAATGCAGTTTTGATTATTTCATCATCTTTGTATGGTTTCCTGTTCTGTGCAAAAATATTTGAAACTCGAAATGAAGCCTCAGTTGGCTCATTAATTCGTGTTTAATGGTTTTAAAAATGTGTATTTTTGAGCATTAAGTTTATATGGAGAATTCAGCCAGAAGTCCTTCTCAATCACTGCATGAATGGTTTTGAAATGATGTTCAAAGTTCCCTTTTTTCCCAACTGATACACTTGCATAGCACAGTAAACACACACTTTCCCTTTACCTGGGTAAAACAGTAATCGGTTTATCATTCTGAATGAAAGTGATACATTTTTTGTTTTATTTGAATATGCCATTATTTAGTACCTATGCGTAAATAAAACTATCCAAGTTAGCAGATGTCTAATATGCACACGAAAAACATAATGTGCACAACCTCATGCCTATACAATCAACTATGAGATGAGGCTGACAATTAGGCAGGAGAAACAAGCAGTTGTTGTCGTCAGTGCCAGCTGAGTGGAGGAATCAAGGCTAGCCAAATGGAGCCTTAATGCGATGTACTGGTAGCTCGTGATCGATGGCTTTGCAACCACTGCTTTATATGATCAACTTAAATGACATTTAAGAGCTTCTGATATGCTAAGATCTAAAGAAAAGTTTGCAGATTTCTTGTCTGCTTTTGCCTTCCTGAAGCTGTTTTGAATGTTTAGGAAAGATAATGGTCTCCATTCTTCATAATGGTAGCAACAAGGTTGCTGAAAGCAGTCAACAATCCCTTGAATAGCTCATGAAATTTTTAAGACATAAAGTTAATGCTGAGGAAATGATAAATTTGGCTTGATCAGGTTTCAAAACTCAAGATTAAGCAAATTGATACTTCAAGAAATAGTGTCCCTTCTGCTTCAGCTCTTATTTCGTCCATGCGTAAAAAGGCTAACTGTATTTTTTTGTGATTGTCCACATTTTAGTAAAGACAGTAGGAAAGCTTCCATGATGACTGTATATGAGAGGAAATCTCAAGTTATTTAGTACCTATGCCATTATGCTTAGTTTGTCTTAAGCTGGGACACATTGAAAAACTGTGTCGAAGTGCATTTTGGTGCATAATATGTGAATGATGAGATTATGCAGTGCTTTGTCAAGGTTGGAAGAAAGGGTCTGACGAATCCACTTTTCATGCAAATTCTGCAGAAAGTAAGTGCATTGCATTATTTACAGGAGAATTCTGTTTATGGAAAATCTATCTAAAGACAATTCTCATTAAAGTTTACCATAAAGAAAGCCAAGTTGCAATATGCATTCTGTTGGATGATGGCTCACATTGATTATGCTTTGAAAAAAATTTTAATGAAAGAACTGAAACTTTTTCCTATAGGTGCAGAAGTGCTTTCACAAGGATTATTTGGTAGTGGAACTATTCTTGCCCTAAAACATGAAAGATACAATGTAGCAATAAAAAGTTTAGATTAAAGGTTTTTCACAAGAATTTCTTTTTTTAACCAGCCAAAATGTTTGCACCATACTACCTAGAATTCATGACAGTCTTTTAATTTTGGAACTTAAAGCTCATGGAATAACACTTGCAGATGTCGATAATACACAACCAATACCAGTTCTCCTTAGCGCATATATTTTAGGATGTGTTTTAACTGGTTGAATTCAGGCATTGTCATTGGGAATCACATAATTACGCCCCTTTTTAGGTAGCCTAAAGCAAATCTGGCAATAATGAAATAATTTTCTTGATGCAATTGGCGTCACTGTTTATGTTCAGAATTAATTTTGTTTTAGAGAATAAATTCATAATAAAATTCTAAGGCAAAAGTAGATGAGCAATCTATCCGTTCTCAGTGTTGTGATGACTAGGACATTATCATTAACACCAGCATATTTTTTGCATGAACCTCCAAATTCTATTAATTGTGATACTAGTGATTTTGATACAGTTGATGAAAGTCGTTTGAAGAAAAGGATGATACTTGCAAACTGTTTAAGGTCCTTTTTGAAAGAGATTCCAAAAAGAAAAAAGTAATATCTGTTGGAACTTGTAAGGAATCCGACCATTAACCCTTTGTGGCACAGTGGACACACCTAAAAATTTCCTTCTGTACGCACAGAAAAATTGAATGAAATAGTATTTATAGGTTACTCTGAACCTTCTTTTTTTATATAGTAGATGGCAGCTCAACACAAACCAGTCCATATATTTTAGCCATGTTTAGTTTTTTAAGACCCTCATTTTTTCAAAGAAATCTTCCAGATTTTTTTTAGTGTATAAAAGGAATTGTTTGAAAAGAAATTTCTATGTTATTTTTTTGGCTATATGCTAATCTCCTTATTCTATATTAGTTTTAAATGTTTACCTTGAAATCTTACCTAAAATCAAACAGCGAACCCTAGGTGTGCCCATACCGGGCTCACCGATAATCTAGGACGACTGAGAGTCTGTATTCGTTGTTTCTCGGCATCTCATTGGGCAGTTCATTGACAACAATGATCGTTTCAGCTCTCTTTTTCGAAGCTCTATTTAATCAGTATGCCTACAGAATTGAAAGATAACTGCTATCTTCACAAAATTTTACTTGTGTACTCCTCTAGGCCTAAGTAGACTGCCTACCCTTTTTTTTCTTATCAAAACTCCAACTTTAAAAGGTAGCATGCCAGAAAGGGTTAAGGCAAGAAGTAATATACAAGTAGATGTGCTTGTGGGATCTGATAGCTCCAAAGTAATTAACAGACCTTTAGTAAGGGTGATGGAACTGTTCACAGGATGAGATGGGAAACAGTGTGTAGCTCAGCTGACATTGGGGAAATGTAGAAATTATCCATCCTCTTTAGTTCTTATAGATTACATCAACAGGTTTAACCCTTCAGTACAAAGTTGGAAGCTCAAGGCCTAAATTATGCCCTCAAAGGAAGAAATTCTGATACCCAAATGCAGAATTTTTATTATATTTAATTGTATGCCTGTCACCCTGATACTCCTTTCAGAATTTGCCGTATATTCAATTTCTGTATGTTTGAGGATTGCCGTTAATTGATTATTTTATGATAGCTGATATATAAATTTTTTTATTTTATAATAAAACTAGTGTTATTTTATTTATAATATTTTCTTTATGAAGCAATCAGCTAAACAATTTTTTTTTCACATTTAGATGTTAAAAACTCTCAACTGAAGGTTTAAGTGTAACCTATACTTAATTAGTGAGGCATTATGCACATTTACATTGCCTATAGTATTATTTTATAGTGCTGTATAATCCTTTTATTTTTGTAATAGGAAAGTTGCATGAAAGTAATAATTTTGATACTCCCGTGTTTTATGCATAATGATTTTTTTTTTTTTTTTTCTGTAATTTCATAGAGCGATACGTACCTCCTCATCTTCGAAATCGTCAGAATAATCATCAAAATAGTGACAGTTCATTAAAAAAAAGTAATCAAGATTCTCAATCAAGGTCTAATTACCATAATGAAGACAGTGAAAATTTTGAACTAAGGAGGGAAGCAGAAAATAGTAGATCTGGTGTTAGGGAATTTGAGCGAGAAAATTATAAAGGTAATTTTTTTTTCCTTTGAGATATGTTTAAGTAATATTGTTGCACCATTTTACAAGAATATATCACTTACATATTTGTAAAGTTAAACAGTTCTCTGTGGCCAACTTGTACCAATAAAATTGGTAATTGCATTCTGGATTTACAAATAGAAAAATATAGAAGTTTTGTTTGGTTGCACATAAAATCATAACATTAAATAGAAGTTAAATTTGCCTGTGTCTCTCAGTATGATATTCATTCCGTCGCACAGATATTCAGGCTTAGAGTGTCAAAGTAGCTTTACAAACTGCTATCAGTTACAGGCAGTAGAATCAAAATTTTGCTTAACATACCTTTTTCTTTAAAAAAGGGATATTTTTTAAAGAGCATTTACATTTTAATTTGGACAAGTTAGCAGCAAATTTACATGTCTGCCTCGTTTAAAGCTTTTGCCTTCTTCATTTTATATATGGTAGGGAGTAAAAAATGTGCATTTCTGTTTCTCGGGCATTCCATGTTAGATGATTTTGCAGAAGATAAACAGTTAGGCTGTATTTAGTATCTTGAATGTGAAACATTTATCTCTCGCTGTGAGTAGTTTTGCATTCCAAATTTATTTGTGTAATAATGTTAATAATCCTTAACAGATACTTAAAGCTTTCAGAGCAATTTCTGTTGGAACTTTTGTAATGAAAAATATAAAGTTATATGTATTTAACTTTGCAGCGTGACCTCCCACCTTGTAGTAACAACAGCAGACCAGGAACAACTTACCAGTCGTGAAGTTTTGGAGATACTTGTTCTGAGTCTTTGGGCCATTACAATCTGCCCTCTATCAAATTTGGTTAGATCAGCAGTCTTTCCCTCACTCACAAAAGTGCAAGAATTATTCCTTACCTTCTCCAGCAGCAGTTAAATATCATTCCCACTTAATCACACACCTCTCTCTTCACGGATTATATTTTATATGCTTATATGAATTGCATGAGTAGAGGCCAACTTTTGTACCCATGAGAGCCAACTTGGAATGCGTGCTGTGTTGTTAAGTTTAGCCTGTATTAATGAATGCATCCCTGGAATAATAAACATGGTCTATTTTAAGACAATTGTTATATTTTCTGCTAGTTAACTTCATTAATATTTTTGCAGACAGAATAACACCTAGGCATGGTGCAAGACTTGCACATATGAAAATTTCAGAATGCAATTTTTAATGCATTTTCACAAAATAAGTCTTGACGTCATATAACGCCTTGAAAATGTAATAGTTTAATTTAACTACTGTGAGTGCTCTTACCTAGCAATGAGTTCATTAAAATCCATTTCAGTAAGTTATTACAAATTATAGCTTTAAAATACGTGTGTTCATATTGTACATTATAAGAAAGTATGAAAAATTACATTAAAAGTCCATGGCAGTAGTAATATTTTAACCTAGCAGTGGGTTACATAAAAGATCATTGCCATGTGAGCCTGCAGCTGGCTTCAATTGGATTGTTATATCATTATTATTAATTGAGCGGTGTACCACAAATTTTAGTTTCTATTATAAACTGATTAAATCTTCTTTTATGATGAATTTGTATGAAAAATAAGCTAACATAAAAGTGTGTATTTTGCAATCCTAACCTGGCATATCTGTTATTTGATTATTATAAAAAGAGTGAAAAATTCTTAAAAATGGGAACCGGATCAATGGTGATCATGTTACTGTGAAGTTACAACTGATGTTACCATAGAAGGAGGATAGAATTTTTTTCTTGTTTAGCAGTTCTAGAGGTCGTAGTTTTTAACGTTTCATTTAAATTATTCCAGAGTTTGTTATTTCAGATCATAAAATAATTTCGCGTGTCGATTTTTTAAGGTTCTGCTGAATTATGTTAAGTGTTTATTTATTATACTGACGAGCCAAAACATTATATCCACATTTTTCAATGAAGTCGTCTGGATGACATGGAGAGGTGCGTGATTAAGTGGGAATGATATTTAACTGCTGCTGGAGAAGGTAAGGAATAATTCTTGCACTTTTGTGAGTGAAGGAAAGACTGCTGATCTAACCAAATTTGATAGAGGGCAGATTGTAATGGCCCAAAGACTCAGAACAAGTATCTCCAAAACTTCACGACTGGTAAGTTGTTCCTGGTCTGCTGTTGTTAGTATAGTATATGCAAAGTGAATAAATGATGGTGAAAACAGCAGTAGATGTGAAGGTGTTGGACGTCCCCATGTTATCAAAGACTGAGAATGTCCCGCTTGGTACAACAAAATAAGTGTCAGACCGTTGCTTAGCTGACAGCCCAATACAATGCAGGTCCAAGTGCAAGTGTTTCAGAACACATTTCAGTGGACACTGTTGGATATGAAACTTTGCAGCAGATGTCCCACTCATAAGCCTCTGTTAACCAAGCATCATTGTCAGTTATGCGTGCAGGGGTTCTGAAACATCAAGACTGGACCATGGCTAAGTGGAAGAGAGTTGCCTGGTTGGATGAATCATGATTTCTCGTTTATCTTATCGATGGCCATGTCAGGGCACACTGTCATCCAGGTAAACAGTTTCTCCCCCCTGTACAACAGGTTATTCACAAGCTGGTGATAGTAGTATTATACTTTGGAGGATATTCTCATGGGTGGCTCTGGTTCCCTTAATTGTTGTAGAACATATGAAAGCTGCAGACTATCTGAACATAACTGCGGATCAGTTGCACCCGTACACGACGTCTGTGTTCCCAACTGGAAATGGAATCCTCCAGCAGGACAATGCCTCAAGTCACAAGGCTCGAATTGTGTTAGAGTGGTTCGACGGGCATAAGGAGGAATTTCAATCAATGTCCTGGCCACCCAACTTGCCTAATTTGCCGAATAGAGCACATTTGGGATGTCATAAAGCAGCAGCTCAGAGCTAAAAGACTACCATGTCAGAATATCTCGAATTTATGTGACTGCTGCTTAGACATTTGGTACAACCTGTCTCCAGCCCTTTGCCAAGAACTTGTGACATTAATGCCAAGGCGAGTTGCAGCTGTTTTTTAGGCCTAAGGTTGCACAACACTTTATTAAGTTGGTGATCATAATATTTTGGCGCTTCAACATAGATCACACAATTTTTGGAAATGATGTAAGGTGATTTACTAATATAGTACTGTAAGGTGACTTTTTTTTTAACTTTAATTAACTTTTCATGTACTAACTTGAATTCTTTATATTCTTGCTTTCCTAAAATTTCATAATTTATTCATTACAGAGGAAAATTAAAAAAAAATTTTTTTTTAGAAATTTGCTACTATTATTATAAAATTGTATTTTTATTCAATGTTAAAAAATGTTTATTATCAATGTTAAAGCATAGCTAGGTGGTTACCATGATTTCTTCTTTTTTGGGTAATCGTAGTGGATTCAGTTTTCATCACCAATGACTACATGATGCAAAAATACCCTTTTATTTATATCTGGCAAGCAGCATTTCACATCTAAAAATCAGCAATAGTGCGCTTTGCCATAATTAAATACACCACACCACTAAACCTCGCTTAAGGCAGTCTCACAATATGCTTTTACAAACAATCAACACACCTCAGCTGGATATTTTTTCAAATTAAAGAAGTAAATCAAAAGTTCCCACAAATGACGCTCCATTCGCCTCAGAAGTCGACATTTTTGTACTGAAAAAGTATGTTGATATGAAATTGCTACAAAGTTATGTTGTAAGCAGATGTCCAAACTTACGAAATGATGTTTTACATCAGAGTTTTAGTCATAACTTACTAGTGGTGCCATTTTTTTTTTTGGTCTAAAGGTGAAAATATATTTTTACTCCTGATATAATATTTGAGTGTAACAAAATTCAGTACTGTACTAAAATAATGATGATGATCTTTGCAGTTGCAAAGTAAAGAATTTGCAAATAACAAATAAGTATTACATATTTAAATAAATTTATTATTAATTATTGTACATTAATCAGGAAAATAAAGAAATAAAAATTACACTTGCTTGCTGTTGGTATCTAATTGATGGCATGGATGACAAGCTGTGAATTAATCTAAAATAAAATGCTTCTCAATCTTATGCAGAACTTCTGCTCTAGTAGTAGTAGCAAAAGAGCATATTAAATATAAAGGCACTGAAAATGATGCATGGTCAAATCTGTAGTATTAAATATAATTAAAATTTGAACCACTGCAAAATATATGCCCTCCATGACCCCTCAGGTGTTAAAGGAACAGAGTTGCCAACTCTCCCGATTTAGGCGGGAGACTCCCGATTTTCGACCGCTCTCCTGCCAACCTGATTTACAATATATTTCTCCCGACGTTTTCTTATTCTTAATATTTCTCACGATTTATTTTTTTGTTTATTTTTATGGATTTGGCTTAATACTTCGTTATATGAACAAAAAAAAAAAAAAAAAAAAAAAAAAAGTGATTTTGGACGTCTGAAAGCAACTGAATTTTCTCTAGATTATATGTAAAATAAAACCTTGCGAATCAGATGAGAATTTCTGCTTTGTGAGTGACAGCATCCAGAATACGTTCTCCAGTTCTCCAATGGGCAACGAGCTCCACTGCGTGTCATCTGGCATATATTAGCCAATGAGCACAAAGGAAGCTCAAGGCCATTAACTGTCATTTGGATGTTCTTTCGTTATTTCGTTCATCTTGTTCTGAGTTGTGTGAGTACACGTGCCTTTGGGAAATAGTTTTAGAAATTATCATCTTTTGTTATGTCTGCAAGAAAGGTGAAATACTCGTGCACGTTTCAAAAATCGTTCACAGTTGACTTTCCTTCCATTATTTCCTCAAGGAAATGTAATAAATTTGCGATGTGTACCATCTGTCGTTGTGATTTTTCGATTTCGCATTGTGGAAGGGCATATGTTATCAAACATGTGTGTACACAAAAACACAAGGACAACATGAGTTGTTTTGAAAAAAATGAAAAATTAAATTTTTCTTCAGAAACAAAAGACCAAAAAGTGATTAATGCAGAATGTCTGTTTTCTGCCTTTTTACTGGAGCAC